TCTGATCCTCCTCCTCTGAATTACTGGGTCAGCTCAGCTTGAACCATCTGGTCCAGTTCTCTCCCCTCTGCTCTTGGCCAGGCACCTGCAGCCGTGAAGTGATGCAGCAGCAGAGCCTTCATCATGCAGTGATGGTGAGGTATAAGCGATCTCCCTGGTGCCTCGAATCTTCTGTCCGCCTGCCAGTGCAGGTGGGGGAGGAGGCTCTCCGTCCTGCTGGGAAAGAGCTCCTGCTGTCAGCCAGGGCTGTATCAGCCCCTCTGCCGCGGCCAGTGCTGGGCTGTGCGGTTGCTGTGGCAGAGGGAGGTCCGTGCTGGCTGGGGGGGAAGGGAGAGGAGCCAGTATTGCTGTGTTGTGTTTGGGCAACCCTGACATCAGAAGCAGTAACCCAGACGAGGCTACCTAAAATGAGCAGTCAATAACAGTGGAGGGAGGCGGGGAAGCAGAGATGTGCGATGAGGGCTGGGCAAGAATGTGCTTAACCATTCCAGTCACCTGCCTGGCGTCACGCTCTGCCTCCGCTGGAACACGGGCTGAGGGCACAGGGACCACTGCGCACGAGCAGGTGTCACATGCTGCAGCTCCCGCTGCTCCGGGGTTGTGGAGGCTCCCCGGTGTCATGGGGACATGCTGGAGGGCAGTGGCGCTTGCTGCGGAGCCGAACGGCAGCATCTTTCCAGGAGAGCCCGGAGTTTGCCTGTGGCTGGGGAGCAGCAGAGCTGCGAGCTTCCCCTTGTCGGCACAGGGATCTACTGAAGGGGACCTGCCCCTTCCTCAGGTGGTGCTCCAGGCAGTGCTCCACCTACAGACACTCTTCCTCCGCTTACAACGCTTCAGATGGTGTATTTGCTGGTGAGCCCAATGGGGAGCATTAGCTTTTGCAGACCACTGCTTTTGCTGCTGCTCTCAGGCTGTCGTTTCCAGGGGAGGCCAGGTCTGACACTTGGTCTGAGGGGCCCGTGGAGCAGAGAGCAGCAGGCCACCCGCTGCGCGGGAGCTGCGTTCACTTTCTATGGAGACAAGCGCTGGGCTGACTCTGCCGGAAGACAGGCTTGTTTGGACCCCATTGCCCCATTGGGGGTTGGACTAGATGATCTCCAGAGGTTCCTTCCAACCCTAACCGTTCTGTGACCTGATTTCCAGAGGTGGGCTGTGTTTGGCGGTGTCCGTGCCGGCGCTGTGCCCAGGGCAGTAACTCTTTGTGCTCTGTTCTGCTGCCGTCAGGCTGGTGCTCTGCTCTCCTCCCGGTCTGACACGCCATGGAAGCTGTGGAGGGACGGGCCCAGTGGTGCGGCACGCTGCTGATGGTGCCCCTGCCTCGGCTGCATGCTGCAGGGCTCTGCTCTTCGCTTGTCTGCAAACATCTTCACCCCAAGCACGTGAACGCAGCAGAAGTCAGGGTCATGGCGCTTTCCTGGGGCACTCTGTTTTGCCTCTCCACATCTCGCCAGCTTTGGTTTCTGGCTTTTTTTTGTCTCCCTGTGCTGCTGGCGACTTCACCTCCAAAAGGGACAGACCACACAACAGCAGAGGTGACCTGGTGGGCCACAGCTAAAGCTGAGAGCGCTCTGCTCTCCCTGGGCATCCACTGGGATGTAGGGAGTCGCTGCTGCTGCAGCTGGGCACAAGAGAGCATCCACGGCAGCGGACTGAACCTGTGCTTTAGTCTTTGGAAATTAGTCTTCGCTCCTGTCTCTCTGAGAAGTCAGGAGGAGGTGTTCGTGTGTGGTGCACGTCGGCAGATGTGCTGTCCCCTGGGAGGGGAGCAGAGCTGCCAGGGTCTCCCCGTTTCTTATTGCTGCTGTAAATATCCTCTTACACAACCTTGTCTGTTTAATCCTCGGACAGTTGGGAGTGTCGATTTCTCATGCCAGCCTGGGCAGAGCTCTGCTGCGAGCGTTCAGATGCCTGCAAAGCTGCAAGCAATGTACCAGGGCATCCGAAGCAGCCATTTCTGAGACACCTCGCTGGGCAGGCGGGAGATCCTTAAAACAGAACTGTCAAAGCAAAGAGCTCGTTCCCTTGGCAACAGTCATGTTGGAGATTGGCCTTAGGGAAGGAGCTAAAAAACATGCTCAAAAAAGTAGTTATCAGCTGTTTGCTGTCAAACCGGAGGAGGGCCCAGGGAGAGGGGTCACCCCGCCTGGCTCCGCTCGTCGCTGCACTGTGCCGGTGGGAGGCCCGAGACAGCAGGGTCCGAGTGAGCTTGCTGCTCATTCGCAAGGGAATTAGTGCCCTTTTGGAGGGTCCCAGGAAAGCTCTGATGCCGGGGATGGCCATCACGGTGCTTGGATGATTTGTGGTGGCCCAGAATGGGGCTTTTCCCCTTCGTCTCTGTCCGGCGTCTTCCAAGGACCTGCCTGTACTTGGCAGGCGTGTGCCTGAGCCGGGTGCTCGGCGCTCCTGGGCAGGTGGCAGCTTTGGGCTTTGGCCAGTAACTTGCAGGTCTGGGCGGCAACAGATCCCCTCAGCTGTGGGACTGCCGGTGGCCTCAGAGGGAGGCGATCGCTGTGCCTGGCGCCGGGATTCCCTGACAATACCGCTGCCTTTTGCTGAGCTAATTGGCCACCAGACTGGTGTGAATGTGCAAACACGACGGAGCAGAGCCGCCAGCGGTGGCCCGCGTTTGTGTGGCTGCC